TACTCGATCGGAAAAATGACCGAGTACTCGAGTATTGATTTTGGTATTCGTTGCCATCCCTAGTAATTAGTATTATTATACTCAATAAAACACCCTTGTGACATTACCTTCCAAATAGTCAAGCCGATGCTGTATAATTAGACTCTCTTTAAGGCCTATAACATGAATTTATAAAATAAAATTAGCCCTTTTGTGAACTTAGAAAATTTAACATTATCAACGCTCTTTACTATCAAGCACTTAGAATAGTCGAGCGTGCTGTCCTTCCGACAGCTCTTGTTTTCATTATAATTGATTTCAAAGTGCTGCAACTTCTCAATGGATTGAGATAGAGTCAAATGCTTTTCAGCGTTGGTTACACGTTACCTTATGATCAATCTGGGGTCATTTATAGCCTCTCACAAGTCCAAAATTTTCTTGGCGATGAGGGGGACTCCGCCCCCCTTCAAACCCCCCAAATAGAAGGGGGCACATCCCCCTTCTGGCAACCCCCTGATGTATCTTTTGGTTTGAGGGCCGCGCCGAAAAAGTGGTCACTTTTTTTAACAACATTTCTCAAACAAAAACAAGTGTTAAGGGCCTAAATAATGCATTTTTTCACCATTTGAGACAACAAAAATGGGGGGGGGGGTGAAAAAGGCGTTAAAAGGCGTGTATATGAAGTAATGGGTTAACAGAAAATGATAAAAATACTTGAAATTACTCTAAATCGCGTTTTTCCATGTTTAAACATGGCCTGTCATATAAATTTGAAGAAAAATTGTTGTTTTGTAGATTTTTTGATTTTTTTCATTAACCCATTACTTCATGAGCATTTTGTGAAAAATGGCTGTTTTCATTGAAAAGTCTCCCGTTACAAGTTCAAATTGCTATTATACTATAAAAACTGCTTCAACACTAATCAAACTTGGCACAAATGTTGACTGGACCATTGCCCTTGCAACAACATGCTCAGGCTTAAATTTTCTGTTACCATGGCAACGAGGGGACATCTCAAAATTGCCAAAAATCACTATTTTGCGTTGATTTTTTTCATTATACAGTCTAACTTGCCCATGCGACCACGTGTATTAAGCGACTTTTGTCTTAAACGACCACTTTAAATTCCCCCCGATCATTTTCTCTCTATATCTTTAATGTATTAAGCGACTTTTGCTCAACGCGACCAGCGACCGCTAATTAGTCACCTAATTGACATCAATCTTTTCATTAAACGACCACTTTTACCTGTCAAGTAATTGTGTTTTTAGAGAACGCCACCTCGTTATGTCACAAGTGTCAGCAATCAAAACACAACAATAAACGTGTGAAAAACTCTATTTCCCATACCGTTTTAGCGTATGCAAATGAAGTTAAGTATACGCGTGACGTGTATTATCCAATAATATCGGATAAACAATGCAACGCTCCGCCCATACTGAGATGGTGTATACGCTTCGCTTGTTGACATTTAGACTGCATTGAATTGACCTTGAACTTGATCAGCCATAAAATTAATCGTAACAAATAGATGTAGTTTGTTTATTTCAAATGAAAAAATGCACAACAGAAAACATCTTCACTAATAGGGTTTTCGTGTTGGAGACAAGGAAAAACAACGGAGAAGTTAAAAAATTCTGGAAAAAATGTCAAACATGTACGTAATGGATCAAAACTGATTTTGTCAATAAATATCAGAACGTTATTTTTACATTTGCATCCGTTTAGATTATCGGAGCGTACTTATTATTCAACATTTATATAAAAATGAAGTTGAAAAACAATCCCATCGAATAAAAAAGATGTCATTTATAAATTTTGACTTTTATATCATGCTGACTGTCTTAAGAGACCGTTTCATTAAGCGACCGTTTTTGGTGTTTCCCTTGCCCGGTCGCTTAATACACGTTTGACTGTAATTGATTTCAAAGTGCTGCAACTTCTCAATGGATTGAGATAGAGTCAAATGCTTTTCAGCGTTGGTTACACGTTACCTTATGATCAATCTGGGGTCATTTATAGCCTCTCACAAGTCCAAAATTTTCTTGGCGATGAGGGGGACTCCGCCCCCCTTCAAACCCCCCAAATAGAAGGGGGCACATCCCCCTTCTGGCAACTCACTGATGTATCTTTTGGTTCGGGGGCCGCGCCGAAAAAGTGGTCACTTTTTTTAACAACATTTCTCAAACAAAAACAAGTGTTAAGGGCCTAAATAATGCATTTTTTCACCATTTGAGACAACAAAAAGGGGGGGGGGGGGTGAAAAAGGCGTGTATATGAAGTAATGGGTTAACAGAAAATGATAAAAATACTTGAAATTACTCTAAATCGCGTTTTTCCATGTTTAAACATGGCCTGTAGTGTTGGGTATCGGACTCAAAAGTCACTATCGATAATCGGATCACCACAATCGATTGTCTTCTGATAGTATAATCGAGTTTTGCAGTTTTTATGGCCCTTTTTCTTTTAAGGTACCAATCCTTGTATGTATTTTTTTATACAATAGTGACCATATTTTGAGAATAAATAAGCACCCACTTATTCACTAGCCATGTTTTTTCTGTATTTCTTTTTTGATAAGGCAAACATAAAAGACTACAGGATCCTCTGGAATTAAAGAGATTTGGTCGGAAACTTCTATTTGACTTTTATGTAAAAAAGTTATGCCCTAGGCAATTCTGCGGTAGTAGAACATTAAAATAATCGATTGTTAAAAAGGACTATCGATTGTCGCCGATTTTGGGGTGATCCGATTAGTTATTGATTCTCAGAGACAATCGGGACAACAATAATGGCCTGTCATATAAATTTGAAGAAAAATTGTTGTTTTGTAGATTTTTTTTAATTTTTTTCATTAACCCATTACTTCATGAGCATTTTGTGAAAAATGGCTGTTTTCATCTCCCGTTACAAGTTCAAATTGCTATAATACTATAAAAACTGCTTCAACACTAATCAAACTTGGCACAAATGTTGACTGGACCATTGCCCTTGCAACAACATGCTCAGGCTTAAATTTTCTGTTACCATGGCAACGAGGGGACATCTCAAAATTGCCAAAAATCACTATTTTGCGTTGATTTTTTTCATTATAATTGATTTCAAAGTGCTGCAACTTCTCAATGGATTGAGATAGAGTCAAATGCTTTTCAGCGTTGGTTACACGTTACCTTATGATCAATCTGGGGTCATTTATAGCCTCTCACAAGTCCAAAATTTTCTTGGCGATGAGGGGGACTCCGCCCCCCTTCAAACCCCCAAATAGAAGGGGGCACATCCCCCTTCTGGCAACTCACTGATGTATCTTTTGGTTCGGGGGCCGCGCCGAAAAAGTGGTCACTTTTTTTAAACAACATTTCTCAAACAAAACAAGTGTTAAGGGCCTAAATAATGCATTTTTTCACCATTTGAGACAACAAAAAGGGGGGGGGGGGGTGAAAAAGGCGTGTATATGAAGTAATGGGTTAACAGAAAATGATAAAAATACTTGAAATTACTCTAAATCGCGTTTTTCCATGTTTAAACATGGCCTGTAGTGTTGGGTATCGGACTCAAAAGTCACTATCGATAATCGGATCACCACAATCGATTGTCTTCCGATAGTATAATCGAGTTTTGCAGTTTTTATGGCCCTTTTTCTTTTAAGGTACCAATCCTTGTATGTATTTTTTTATACAATAGTGACCATATTTTGAGAATAAATAAGCACCCACTTATTCACTAGCCATGTTTTTTCTGTATTTCTTTTTTGATAAGGCAAACATAAAAGACTACAGGATCCTCTGGAATTAAAGAGATTTGGTCGGAAACTTCTATTTGACTTTTATGTAAAAAAGTTATGCCCTAGGCAATTCTGCGGTAGTAGAACATTAAAATAATCGATTGTTAAAAAGGACTATCGATTGTCGCCGATTTTGGGGTGATCCGATTAGTTATTGATTCTCAGAGACAATCGGGACAACAATAATGGCCTGTCATATAAATTTGAAGAAAAATTGTTGTTTTGTAGATTTTTTAAATTTTTTTCATTAACCCATTACTTCATGAGCATTTTGTGAAAAATGGCTGTTTTCATCTCCCGTTACAAGTTCAAATTGCTATAATACTATAAAAACTGCTTCAACACTAATCAAACTTGGCACAAATGTTGACTGGACCATTGCCCTTGCAACAACATGCTCAGGCTTAAATTTTCTGTTACCATGGCAACGAGGGGACATCTCAAAATTGCCAAAAATCACTATTTTGCGTTGATTTTTTTCATTATAATTGATTTCAAAGTGCTGCAACTTCTCAATGGATTGAGATAGAGTCAAATGCTTTTCAGCGTTGGTTACACGTTACCTTATGATCAATCTGGGGTCATTTATAGCCTCTCACAAGTCCAAAATTTTCTTGGCGATGAGGGGGACTCCGCCCCCCTTCAAACCCCCCAAATAGAAGGGGGCACATCCCCCTTCTGGCAACCCCCTGATGTATCTTTTGGTTGGGGGGCCGCGCCGAAAAAGAGGTCACTTTTTTTAACAACATTTCTCAAACAAAAACAAGTGTTGGGGGCCTAAATAAGGCATTTTTTCATCATTTGAGACAATAAAAAATGGGGGGGGGGGGGTGTGTAAAAGGCGTGTATATGAAGTAATGGGTTAAGCTATAAATTTTCAAGTGTCGAGATAGCATGAAAAATCTGATATTGATACTTAGTAACGCAGTCAAAGCATTGCTATAGAGGTTCCACAGTGTTCTGTTACGCTATTAAGGCATTTTTGAAAGCTATTCTTAGGTCAAGAGCAAATTATTTACATTTTCCAGTTGGTCGCTGAAACAGCAATCACATAGCATTATTGTAAACCTGAGAAATCCTCCAGCACTGACTGGGATTTGAACGAAGGGAAGGCTAGATTTGGTGATATGTTCAGTATTGTCTAAGGAAGGGTTTACTTTGTGCCTAGTGCATAACTTTTTTATGCATCAATGTATTTTGAAATAACTTGGCACTCATGTTGATTCATTTTGTATTAAAGCTTGTAGATGGGCACACACTATTTGACTACAGTGTTGGACTCAATGACCTCATCCAGTTGATGATCAAAGCTCCTCCTCCTGCTCAGGACACAAAAGAGACCGAAAAAGATGGTGACACTAGAGAAAATGGATCAGATAAAGAAAATGAGGTGAGTTCTTCCAGATTAGCAATATTAATTGTTTAAATAAAGTTTCCTTAAAGAATCTTTTGTGTCTAGCTTTATTTGTCATCCAATGAAAACGCTGTATTTCTTATAAATTCTTTGTGTAATTTAGTAATTTTCATAGAAGAACAAAAGTTGATACTATATCAAATTCCGTTCATAGCCTTCTATTTTTTCTTAGTGCTTCATAGAGCCGGGTTCACAACAATAGTCATGTGTCAGTGTTCATCAAGAAAAGTGATTCAGTTTTAATTCAATTCAACATTCAATAACTTAGCTCCATGTACTATAATTATGCTGTTGTTGTTGTTTTCAGCCGGAACAATCGGAAGAAAAAGAGAAAAGTGATATAGATCTGCAAGACAGCACATACAAGGTAAAACAAATGAATATCTCATCACTTTAATTGAAAACAAGTCAGAATCGGTTTTTAAAGGGCTTTTAAGAGTCAGTAGGGGCCAGTGGCTTTGCCTCTTGATTTTGGGAAAAAAGCATTTAAATAGCTAATTTGGGAAGTGAAAAAGCTGGTGTAAGGTCATATTCTTGGGAAAACTTTTATGATTTAAATAACAATTTTTAAAGGCCTCTGTTATATCAAATGGAAAATCACCAAGACAGTAATAGATTTTGTTGTTGGACTTTAAAGTCCACACCAAGACTGTAAAGTTCATATGGCGACTTTCTAAGAATGCTGGTAGAAGTCCTCATGTGCCCCTTTGTGCATTGAAGTTTTGTATGTTTTTTATTGTTATATCTTTATATCTTCAACTTACATGAATAAATATATTAATATATTTAAAGAAACATTATTGATTTATACATCAAGTTCTTTTTTTATGTAATATTTCAGATTGGAGATGTGATAGATGCACGTGATATTGCTATGGGTGCATGGTTCGAATCAACAATTATGAAGGTCACCAAGTCTACCTCAAAGCCAGATAAGTCCGAGAAACAAGTTGACAGTATAAAACCAGTCTTGTCAGAAAGCAGTTTGAAAACGGCAGACAACAAAGCTGAAAATAAAAACAATACACCCAAAAAGGGGCGTGAAAATTCTTCCAAAGCAAAGGATGTTAATGAAAACGTGAAAAGTGATAAATCCGAAGCAATGGATACTGATGACACGCCTACTAGTGATAGTAAAACCTCAGGAATAAAGACATATGATAAACTATTTGACAATGTGTTGAAGGATGATGGCTTTGTGTACCATATTGTATATGAAGGGTTTGTAATTTCTTTTATTTTCTAATTATTTAGATACCAGGCAGTCTAAAAAATGCCTAGTCGTCATGAATGAATTGATGTGGTAATGGTGTTTGATTCTTCTCAAAAGACAGGTCCACTTTGGAGAAAATTTCCAAAAGAAATTCTTAATGACCAAAAAAAATCTTCCAATTATTGTTTTCTAAAGTATTCCAATTTCATAAACTTCTATCATTTCCAAATGGGTTAGGCAAATTTTGATAATTTTTTGTTCAATGGAAAAAACTTACTCTAATGAAATTTTGTTTCAGTTATGATGAAGATGATCATGTGCAGCTTACGTGTAAAGACATAAGACCTCGTGCTCGTTCTAATATTAAGTTTTCAGACGTAAAGGTAGGGAGTGCAGTGATGGCTAATTATAACATAGAAGAGCCAGATGAACGAGGGTTTTGGTATGACTGTGTTATAACAGACAAAACTGACACAAGGACAGTAAAGAAATTGTCAGCTACTGTGTATTTTGGGTAAGAACAAATCATTACTGCATTAACTTCAGTTCATTGCTGTCTTAATTTTATAGAAGCTTTTGAGAATTTGCGAGTAGCTAGTCAGCAGTTAAAACTTTTCTGAGTGTCTTAAAGTATTTCTGTTTATGTGGCTGGGTGAAAATAGTAAATTCTGCAGATCCTGCCAGAAATTTTTGATTATTTCATGGGAGGGAGCTATCCAACTAGTTTATGGAAAGCCAGTGGTTTTAGTCAGGTGCCTGCTTGTGCCTGAAATAATGCATGTAGGGAAGTTTTCCTCCATAAGTAAAGCCAGATTGGTGCTTAATGACCTTTACGAAAATAAATACTGCAGAAGTCATCAATTTTATTTTGGCGTTGTCAAGATTTGGGGCATTGTTTGTATCTGAACAGTTTAAACACAGACTAGTACTCATTATAGTTGTAAAACTATGAATACTACGAATGATAACAGAATAAGAAATTTTAAGATTTGAACATTTTCTGAGACTTTAGAAATGGTTTAGAGCCAATATTATATAAAATTGTTCTACAGGTTGACAGTAACCATTACTTTGAGATATTTTGAATCAGGTAATAGATAGATCCAATAATGCCTCCTACTTCCTTAAAGGCCAACATCTAAAGAATTGTTAGATAAATAAAATTAACCCTTTTGAAAGGGGGTCGGGTGCATCTAGGGTAAGATTGAGATGCGATTATTGTTCAGTTAAAGGCTTTGATAAATTATGGCTATATTTGGTTATATTTATTGATAATCAGGATTCAGGAATTTTGTTTGGCGTTTTACTTGGTTTTTAAACATGTAAGTTTTCTATTTTAAACAGGCCTGACCTTTCACCTTTAGAAAATTGTAACCTATTATTTGTTGATGAAATTTTTGCTGTGGAAGTAGCTGGTACCCAGCTAACTGCTGAAGACTTAGCTGCCAACCCAAGCATGTCACCTGTAAAAAGTGAGTTACCCTTACTTTCCTTATAAACAATAATGATGATTGGCTACTGTCACAAAGTTTTGATGTTCTAACTAAGATTTAGTAATAAGGGCTAAAAAATGTGCACAAAAATTCTGGAAAGTTGTTGACAGTTGAAAATTGTGACTGTTTAATTAGACTGTTATAAAAATAATGGAAAGTGCTATATCTGAAGCAGCCAAAAGTATTGGAATCAATTGTCATAAAGTACCAAAACAAAGATAATGACTCTAAATGATATAATACAGACAGTTACACAGTATTTTGAGGGTCACAAGTTAAACCTTAACCGGCTGAATTTCCTAAATGGACTGGTCAAGCTTCGATTTGCGGAACTGTCCATTATCTGTTTTAGGGATATCAAGATGAAACTTTGAAGTTTCTCAGCCAACAGTATAGCGCTTGGTCAGAGTGCAAAAATGTGTAGGCTAGCCTGGCTTTATACTGACTTCAGACTCAAATTGTTTTTTAGCTCCAGAAGGATAAGATTTAAAGTGATAACAAGGAGCAATATTTTGTTGGTATTTCAGGAACAAACAAGCCCGACTGTGATCACTGTCTGGACAACCCTAAGAGGAAATGTAAACATTGTGCTTGCTGCGTGTGCGGAGGGAAACACGAGCCAGAGAATCAAATAATATGTGATGAGTGTAACAGTGCATATCATTTACAGTGTATGGACCCACCTCTAGACAAAATTCCAGAAGATGATGAATGGTGTGTAATATTTATTATCTGCTTAACTATTCAAAGAATAGGGAGAGCTGCTGTACTGACCCATGTTTCAACATCGCGCAGTTTTTGCTTGCAAGTTGGTATCTTCAAAACAACAGTGAAATACTTACAGGAATAGTTTGAAACTTCACACATTTATTTGAGAGCATAATTGGTCACTCTCCAAGACCTATAACTGTAATGTGGCTTTTGACAGTATAATGAACCTTTTTGAACTAAGAAAATTCTACAGTATTAAGGTTTTGTTTTTACTATCAAGCACGTAGTGGAGCACGCTGTCCTACAGAGTAAAATTTTAATATTAATTAGGATGTCTCTCTCATGAATAAGGTAGTTATAATTCTTTTATGGTTGACTTGAACTTGAAGGGATAGGCTACAGTTTTATGTACAGGCAGAATGAAAGATGCATGTGTTATCATTTTAGGTATTGTCCAAAGTGCAAGCTGGATGATTCAATAATTGTAAAAGCAGGAGAAAAACTGAAAGAAAGTAAAAAGAAATCAAAGATGGCTTCTAAACAGGGAAACAGTAGCAGGGATTGGGGTCGGGTGAGTTTTCCATGATTTTCAAACTTATTTTCATTAATATAAAAATTAATTTATACACTATTAAAGAAAAAGCTGTTTTATTGATGCCCATTATCAGTTTTAAGTTAAATATTTGTACATGTTTGAAAAAATAGTTTTTATTCTGCCAATAAATTTGAATGCATAGAAACATTTAAGCAAGTCCAAAAAATAAACGTAATAGAGATTCTCTTACCGAAGATAACCATTTTGTTTTTGTCCTTTTCACAAATGCTATTGCACAAATTTGACTGTTTATTTAAAAAATGGTGTCATATTTCAGTGAACAAAAGAGAATTGTAAGTCTTATCATTTGATGCAATATTTTTAGGGTATGGCTTGTGTAGGAAGGCAGAAAGTGTGTTCAGTTGTTCCAATGAATCATTTTGGCCCAATACCAGGTGTTGAAGTGGGAACAATGTGGAAATTCAGGGTGCAGGTTGGTATCTTTGGCTATTTTTCAATACATTTCATATAAATTAATAGAAAAGGGGTACTTGTTTTCCAGGTGTTTTGAGGAAAAGGTACTACCAGAATTTTGTTCTATTATTCATGTAGATTTATTTTGTGTTCGGGATGGAATATTTTTGGTCTTAATAATGGTACATGAAACAGTACTATGAAAAAGTAGGTTATTCAATATTGTGAATTATATGTTTTACATGAAAACAACCATGCAATGCAGGAATTGAATGATACAATGATAGGAAAAGTGCTTCTTATTTGCCAGATGTTTGATAATCTGGTCAAGTGACAACTATATGCCAACAATTTACTTAGCTGCGTGGGGAAAAAAGAAATGTTATTTGTGAAAATGTTCAATGTAAAAATCAGAATTCCCTGATTCAATTTGAAATGTTGGGTGATATTTCAGGTGAGTGAAGCTGGTGTACACAGACCTCATGTAGCAGGCATTGCTGGTAGAGAAAAAGATGGGGCATATTCCATTGTGTTATCTGGTGGATATGAAGATGATACTGTAAGTTTATATACATATAAATGGATCAAGTAAAGAAACTTAGTATTTTTATTAACAATATTAACCATGTTTTCAAGTGAAAAATTCTGGTTATTAGATTAGTCAAATGTTGATATACTAGTATGGCAGGGTAAAACAAAGTCATGTGTGTGCAACTTGTACTTTTCTTTGGGATTTCAACCAGACTTGGGGAGTAATTTTTGGCCACATTATGGTACTTTGTTTTTTAGCCTGAGAATATTTATATAAAACGACATATATATTATCAAGGATCACACAAGAAGTTGACACAAAAAAGTTATAACAAGCTTATTTCTATTATAGTCTTTTAAAGATACAGTATTGTGTGACCTAGTATTGATCTGAATTGTAAGAATATGAATTTAACATACATGTTCCATTCTGATTTTTGACTTTAACCTTATGTGTAATTTATTGTTTTGAAAAAGCAGATCTGCAATAGTATAATAATACTGCAATAACACAACAATTCTAGGCAGCTTTGTAAAAATGTGTTCAACTGACTTTAAAAAACCCCCAAAAAAACCCCTTTTTTTGCAGGATAATGGTGAGTCGTTCTTTTACACTGGTAGTGGAGGGCGTGACTTGTCAGGAAATAAACGAACAGCAGAACAATCATGCGACCAAACCCTTACTAGAATGAACAGGTGAAAAAACAGATGTACTTGATTAGTCAATTGTCAAATTTTTATGTTGATGTATCAAATATGTCAAGGTTTTTGTTTCTCAAAAAAAAAACTATTTGATTTTTGGAATAAAAAATGTCAAATGTAAAATAGGGAAGAACAAAATCGGAAAATATTGCAAGCCTGGCTTGATTGAGCCTGTTCATGAATGGTAGTGGTAAGCTACCGTCCAAGCTAACTAGAATCACCTTATGCAAAATTCAACATTATACATGAACTGGTAAAATTTTGAATTTTGGAACATCCCCAGATTTGTTTAATGCTTAAAAATAATTTTATGATTTGTATTTTCTACTCAGAGCTCTTGCAATCAATTGCAATGCACCTTTAGACAATAAAAATGGAAGTACATCAAAAGATTGGAGGAAAGGCAAACCTGTGAGGGTAGTGAGAAACTGTAAGCTGGCTAAACACTCTGAATATGCTCCTGAAGAGGGAAACAGATACGATGGCATTTATAAGGTTTGAATAATGTTTTTAAAAAAAATGCATTTTGCGTTTGTCATTTTATTTGGCAAATGCACTAACTAGTACAGAGTTCGATTTATTGTTAAGCACCACTCTGATAACCAATATTTTTCTCTTTTGCAAAACTGTCAACCAGCTTGTGTTATAGTTAAATTAATATTTGATCTTTAACTGCTTTTAATTCTGGAGGAGATATTGGGGAAAAGTACCTTAGTAGCTAGCTGTGGAAAATCAGTGTGTTTAACACTTGACAGTACACTTGACAGAAATTATACACTAGGTATTTTTCACCCTCCTGTTACACTTAAAATCCCCCTAACAACTTCATTGGTGTATTTTTGAAATGGGCCTAAAACAAAAGCAAAGTTATGTAGTTTGAGGATCAAGATGTATTAATGTGTATTTAATTTTCATTACAGATAGTAAAGTACTGGCCACAAAAGGGTCAATCTGGTTTCTTAGTCTGGCGTTATTTAATGCAAAGAGATGATCCAACCCCGGCTCCATGGACTGCTGAAGGCAAGAAAAGAACAAAGCAGCTTGGATTAGTTATGCAGGTATCCATACTTTTTGGTGTTATGGCATTTATTAGGTTTGTCTTTATTTGTTGGTTTCATAGAATGATTGAAATTTGGTAAAATTCTAAAATATGTCAGGTCTGTTGCAAAAATTATGGCATATTGATTTAGAAATGTATGCAGTTAGATTATGGAAGATTGTTCCACCCTTTTGTGCCTTACATAATACATAAATTGGCATCTTGAGGTTTTCCTTCACTAAAGTTTGAAAGTGGTCATATAACCTTTACATTGTTAATATGACTTAAACTCTCAAATAATGGATCTGCAGCATTGGGCCTAATGGTTGTTTGTCTCTAGCTATTGGTTCAGAAATCGAATGGGATTAATTCTTGGTCGCTTGTGTGGAAATTGACAATTACATGTTAGTTGCCTAACTAGAAAATAGGTTAGGCATGCTGACCACCTAGATATGACCAAAAATAATGTGTTAAAATCAGCAGTAAAAAAATAACAAACCAAATAAAACCGAACAAACAAAATAAACACCTTTAAACGGAAATATTATAGAAGGAAATATGCTGCTGTTCTATTTTTAGTATCCAGAAGGCTACCTAGAGGCCCAGGCCCTGAAAGAAAAAGAAAAGGAAGAGTCTGATACTCCTAAAGGTAAAGGCAAGGGGAAACGTAAACGTAATAACAGCGAGGAAAATGAAGGTAAAAATTCTTGTTCTTTGAATTCATGAAAATAATTGTAAATGTATAAAAGGTAAAGCACTGTTGTAACTTTGTAAATGTAAAGAATAAGATGGAATGTCCATGGAAGTATGATATAGGTTGTTTAGTTTTACTAAGACATTAAATGAAATTTTGAATGTTTTTGTGTTAACAAAAAAATGGTAAAAAACCCTTTAAATTCAATTTAATCTCTGGTGTAAGTCTTTGATTGTTAGCATATTAAAGGGATTATCTGCAGGTAGGCATTTTGTCATATAAGTTTTGTATCCAGTTTCTGAAGATAATGAAGGCTTTAATCTCAACACTCTTTGTTTCATTCAAAGATACAACAAATGGCTTTATAAATAAAACACAATGTCATGATGATGAAACATATTTGAGCCGCGACATGACAAAACCAACATAATGGGTTTGCGACCAGCATGGATCCAGACCAGTCTGCGCATCCGCGCAGTCTGATCAGGATCCATGCTGTTCGCTTACCAACCCTATTACAAGTAGAGAAACTGATAGCGAACAGCATGGATCCTGATAAGACTGCACGGATGCGCAGGCTGGTCTGGATCCATGCTGGTCGCAAACGCACTATGGTTTTGTCATGATGCGGCTCATTTATAGCTGTATTTGTTATATATAGAAAACAGTCCAAGCAAGAAGGTGAAGAAAGTTGCTGCATACAAGATTGACGATGCTGTATCTAAACTGATTAAACAAGACAAAGAGAACAAGAAACTCTGGGATGAAGCTCGTGAATTTACAAAAGAGGGTGGACAGGTAAAGATTTGCATAGATTTGGTTTACAAAAAAATTACTATGGCAGAGTTAATGTGTCCAATTTACAATGATATATATTAAGGTGACTGCCTCTTAAACTCGGCAATCATGGGTTTGAGCCCTTCTGAGGTCATGACCATGTTACCTCATGTTACAGGAAACAGATTTAAGATTGGTTCATTTAAGTTACAAGTTTTCTTCACAGTCGAGCTTAAGTAAATGTTTTAACTAATGGGAAAATTTCTTTAAATTTTATCATGGCAGTGATAATTGTGTCTGATTTTTGGAAAGCTGCAAATCATCTTGCGTCATTATTTTGTCCTCTTGAATATGCCGAACAATAACCAATATTCATATGCATTTAAATAAGTTTGATGCCATTTGGATTTATCAGAACCAAAAATCTTCAGAACATATGTAGAAAGTATTGACTTCTTGAAGAACATCATTTGTGGAGTGTTTTTATTGCCTTCCATTTATAGACCTATTTATATCACAAAGGTAAATGGTAAATACTTTGATAATTCTTAAAATAACTTTTCTCATTGGTATGAGCAGTTTTTTTCTTGAACAAAAAAATTTTCAACACATCATTTTAATGAATAATTACTTGAGTCTTAAATCTTTTTAATTTTCTTTAAATCTTGGTACATTTTCCTAGTGCTTAATTTTCTCTAAATATTTTGACTCTTCTGGAGTCATGCAGCTTAAAATTGGGGACTCTTTTTACATAATTTGAAAAAGAAAAAAAAAACCTGTATAAACTGACTTGATAATTATGCTACCTTATTTTACAGAAATTTTTACAGAAAATTGAAGAGTTATTTACATGTATCTGTTGTCAGGACTTGACATTCAAACCCGTTACAACAACTTGTCAACACAATATGTGCAAGGTAAGCACAATGTTTAATGCATTCTAAAAGTATTTCTTTTTAAACGTGTGCGATATTCCATTAACTGTTTTGATTAATTTTAATTGTTATTATTAAAGATTTGTCATGAACAGTTACTAATTAGTGAGAGCTAAATCATTGTATGGGGGATGGAAGGGGAGGGACAAAAAAACAGTAACATTTTTTCAAAAAAGGAGCTTCAGAAAGTATTGACCAATTATTATTGTTTCCTTAGACTCTATATTTTGATATGAAATTAGCTATATTGATATCTCATCACTGGTGTAAGCTAGAATTATGATTCAGATGCTGATTTATTTCATGTTAGAAAGTTATCCAGTTAGCTTACAGAATGTCAGTGGTTCTACTCCGGTCCCTGTTTGTGCCTCAGCCTGAAATGAGCCGCGCCATGACAAAACCAACATAATGCGTTTGTGACCAGCATGGATCCAGACCAGCCTGCGCATCCGCGCAGTTTGATCAGGATCCATGCTGTTCGCTATCAGTTGCACTACTTGTTATAGGGTTTGTTAGCAAACAGCATAGATCCTGATCAGACTGCGCGGATGCGCAGGCTGGTCTGGATCCATGCTGGTCGCAAACGCATTATGTTGGTTTTGTCGTGACGCGGCTCAAATAATGCATGGAGAAGCATATCTTTCTCCCACATAATAGCTTCAGTGTTGGTGTTACTAAAAACCCAACCCCACAAAAAAAAAACATTGATATATTAATTGTATTAAAACATTTGCATAGATGTTTGGGCCTCCATTGCCAGGTTGATAAGGTCACTAACTATGAACCACTTGCCTGTCACCTCTGTGGGTTTAAATCCCAGAGCTGTTGAATTTATTTGCATGTAAAAAAAGCTTTCAAGCTAGCTTGTAGGTTGATAGTTCTGTTTTGGTATCAATTGAAATAAAACTCCAGGAGCATCTACAACATTATTTATGTTGGAAATTTGACCAATTTTGTTGCATACACTGTTGTAAAAACATTTATGATATTATTCATTGTTTTGATTTCTATTTTTCATAGACGTGTATTCAGCGATCATTTAAAGCAGACGTGACTACCTGTCCAGCTTGTAGAACAGAGTTAGGCAAAGACTATAAAATGCCCGTTAACACAGTTCTCTCCGATATTCTTCTTAAATTCTTCCCGGGATATGATGCTGGCAGATAGATGATAATGTGCCCACAAATAGTGCTATAATTGTTTCCTAGCAAATTGTTTCTGTCTTATGTGAATTAAATCTTAATGTGTTCAAACCACTTAAATACATTAGAGAAAGTCATATTTTAGAATGTATTAATTGTGTATGAAATGTAGAAAAAAATTTAAGTCATAATATTTAGAAATTAGTTTTGTATAAAATATGAGGGGAGGGGGGCTATTTGTGATTGATTTGCAACATATTTTACAGTTACCAACACGGGCTTTTTTCAGGCTTGTACATGATTTAATACCTCCTAGGCTTTTTTCGCAGTCTGGGGAAGCAGCCCTTCCCCTAATTTTAGGGAAACATATGCATTATTGTAAAAGGGGGAAGAAAAAACTTGATGTCAATTCAATTTTTGGGGAAAACTGCATGATTTTAAAGAATTTTTGTATTAATGGCCCCAGCTATAGAAGGGGGAAAAGTCCTGACCTCATTTAGTAGAATTTTAGGTTTTTTAATTTCCTGTCAACTTCAAAGTAGCATTGATGTGTACAGGTAGCTATTTCCTTTAATATAGTTGAAACTTGGTGCTTTAAATTTAATTTAGACTGTAAACTTGAAATATTGTAGATTGAATATTGGAACATGTTATAAAGTGAAATATGTATTATTGTGTAGCTTGATGCAGTTATTTAGAATATCTTTTATGTTTAAAATGTCTTCTGCATGATGCATGTAAGAATTTTAAGGTGTGTAACACAGATTTTTAAAAAAAAATTAAATTATGATAGTTAAAATGACAAGGCTCATTTCTTTTGGCCATGTTGCATTGAATTAGTAATATGTTTTAAAAGATTGTTATAATAGTGATTTATCAATAATTGAATAATTGATGATATAAAAATGTCGATAAAATGTAAAATCTGCTTGAATTATAGAAGAAAAAACCAGCCCCACTCTTAAAGAATTATTATTATTTGTATTTTTATCTGTTCATTGACCTTTACACTTACAAACATTGTCTTCTCAACAATTGACCTTTACACTTACAAACATTGTCTTCTCAACAAATGACTTATTTCGTCACAATCAAAACCTAACGCACAAGTTGGATTGCAAAGAGCCCGGCCAATTCAACAAGACTATTCACTGCTAGTTACTCATTATATAAAGCATTATGATATTTTAAATCCTTTTGCATTAATTTAGACAATTCAAATGTGAAAACTAGACATCCAACAAAACCGTAAACATAAAAGAATTTCGGAACTTGGGGTTAGGATAACTATTAATGTTTTCTTGAATTGGAATGTGTATAATATGTTTCACATTTAAAATCTTTAGCATGACTTGTTTGTCTTAATTGTTTGTTTACATGTTTCAATTTTGAATTTATTTAATGCTGTTTGTATATCTCATTTTTGATTGATAAATGCCGATAATATTTTTTCATGTTGATAAATTAACCAAATTTGTAACTGTATATTATAATTAAAATCATTATTTTTACATTACCAAGATTTTTAAATTGTTCTAATAAAATTCTTACTAATATAGGAAGCTATAGTGTTATTTGAACATAGTTTGATTTTATTATTGTTTGACATTAATAATATACCTTTGGTGAACTGTCAAAATTTCAAATTTTTAATTTGCAAGTTCACCATGACGTTTCATTTAATGTTACAGGTGTAGAATTTTAGTCTATGTGAAATTTCTGTTCAAGGTTAAGACAGTAATACGATTTTTGTTTAACATTAAGATATATATAAAAAAAAACAACACCTTGCTGTCAATCATTTTATTATATTGAAAAATTCCATTAAGTGTATCATCTTGATGCAAGACTATTAGTATTAATGTTTGTTTTGTGCAAGGGAAGTGAAGTCTGGATGGAGTTTCAACTTTACTCGTCAATGGATTCAAAAGTATTTCAATAAGCTTGTAGCTTCCAACACAAACTATAATAAATCTGTATATTGAATGAATCAGGGCTCTACTTGTATAAATGTCAGATGACAACATAAAATATTAATCTAGAAAATATACAGGAATTTTTACATGCATATTATGATAAATGTAAAATGTTGTAACTAACAGGCATGTATTGCTATAGTAAAAGCTGCTTGTTTAAAAGGAGGCAATGGTGGCAGCTCAGATTCTTCCTGTGCCTCTAGTGTACTCAAAGACCAGTCTGCATTTTATTTGAAATTTATAATGAAAATAATGAATGTTTTTTTGCCAGAATGAAAAATTGACCAATCTATATCGGATATTTAGTGTGCTAAAGAGTAATCAATAAATGAGCCTCGTCACGACAAAACCAACGTAATGCTATCAGTTACTCTACTTGTAATAGGGTTTGTAAGCGAACAGCTTGGATCCTGATCAGACTGCGCGGATGCGCAGGCTGATCTGGATCCATGCTGGTTGCAAACGCACTATGTTGGTTTTGTTGTGACGCAGCTCAAATGTATATAGTGCTGATTAACATGATCATTGTTGGTACAGTTAAGAAAGAAAAGGCTTTTACTATACTAATATTATCATAGAGCTAATTATATTTTACCTCAATGTGTATAAGGTACAAAATGGTTCATATAATCAAATTTGTTGTTTAAACAAAATGCATTAAATGAAATTGTATCGAAAATTATAGAATAAATGTATCTTTACTTTATTTCATGTAGTTTATTTTGTTAAAAGAATACCCCATGGTGGCAGCATTGCCGAATGGTTGGATCACAAGCTGTATGGGTTCAAAACCCAGTCTGGCAAGTCGTTCTTTCCTTGAGCAAGATACTTGACACTCTTTCAGTACTGGTTGGTTCTAGGAAAGTGTGATGAAGCTTATAAGCTTCCGACAACCGAACAAAAATAAATCCCGTATAAACCAAAATACCCCAGCCAAATACTATAAAAGATTTTAAAGAGAATTACGCCTCATACAACGAACATGTTGCCTTGAAAGGGCAGTAACATTGTTATGCCAACAAGGGGTCATTGTAAAGTTTAAACACTACTAATTGGTAATCATCAATTACTCTGCAACTGACTTCTGATCCCGCAAGATTTCTACATCAGTGGTGTAAGACATACGACCATTGGACTATACATCAGTGGTGTAAGACATACTACCATTTGACGAATAAGTCTGAGAACTATTGTCGTCGAGAAATTTGTTTTGGCTAAGGATCAAACCAGCCACCACTGGAATACTAATCCTACGTACTCTTAATTGAATTATGCAGGAGTACACTAGCAAAATGACGAAACTAAAATACTTCCACTTTGATGGATGGCAAATCTTCCAAAACTTTACAAAATGTAAAAATAAAGAGAATTATTGATGGGAACAACTGGAAACAAAGGATCTAAGTAAAAATTTATTCATCCAAACAAACAATAGTGACACTAACAAAACTTTCATTGTAAAAATCACTAATGCTAATATTGTATGAGCAGAATAAAAAAAATATGCACATTTGTCACCTTAGTGCAATAACTGTTTAACTCCTATTAAATTTTGAAGGACTTCACTTGTTACTGCACTAAGGAGACTAAAATTTAATTTAAAGATTCTACAGAAAAAAGAAGTGAAAAAATACAACACACAACATCATTATGATAGAAAAGTTTTCTCTTTTGGAACACAAATTGTGAAACATTTTGTTTAACAAAGCAACCTCATAAAAATATTGTAACACAGTCAACTTAAACTAACAAAATTTTTGTAAATACACCAGTCTCAGTAACTCCACCTCCCCAATTAAATAGTAAGGAATTTGACTTATAGGGGACAGTCAGGTGGTATAGTCTGCTAAAATCCCCGTGTAAGACATTCCCTCTGCTATTTTGGTACTGTCATGGTACAGAACCGTTCACTTACTAAGGGAGAGTGTGTAAAGGACTGGATAGCTCAGTCAGTGAGGTTGGGGTACATATTTCAAGAGTCCTGTGTTCAAGACTGGGTGCACATTTTTCTCACCATGTGACGGTCCCATAAAAAACCCCACAAGAAGTGCAGGGACTGACAGTAAAAAGAACAAAACTTAGCTGATCTACCACACGGGAAGGCAGAGTTTACAGCAGACTAGTGCACAACTACAACAATACCCAAATACTTATGTGCAAAAATTGCAGAAAAAACTTAACAACATAAATACACCAATAATAGAATGTAAACTCAGTTTTCCATTTATATGTTTTTTCTACAATCATGCACTTAACAAAAATATTTTATCTTTATTTGCTAAAAACTTACAAACTGCAAGTGCTTTTTGCAATTCAGTCAAACATTGTAACACCCATTGATTGACAAAGAGCTCCACCACACAGAAGCTGTCATATTTGTTTTACAAATATTTGGCACAGTTTTGGTTTATGATTAAAAGCAATTGCGATGTCCACAATAACATAAATTTGATAAAAATAAATAAACTTGAACACCAATAGATATTGACTAATGTATTTTTATTTTAACATCAACTGTAAATGAAAGTGTATTTAACATCAAATACTAAAATTGACCAATTTCAAATGGTAAATGTGAATTTAAAAATAATGAAAACAGACTGGTAATATTTGAAACCAAAAGATACAACTAAACTCAAAATAAAATATTTTGAAACCAACACTAAAGACAGTTGTGTATATCAAACTGTAAAATCTAGTTGCTTAACAAGTGGTGGCTATGAAGCCATGAAATATTTATGCTAACTAGTGGTTTACATAAAATCAGTTCAGTTGAATTTACCAGAGATTTGCTTTCTCAAATTGTCCAAGGTTTTGGCAAGGTTTCAAATGTATAATATGCCCATTAAAATTGCAACATTGGCCCTTTGGTTGGAATTGCATATTTATTATATATGGATTTGAAAATTAGCCCTCTCACCTTCAATTAACATCAGTAACTAGCAAAACACCTGATTACAATTCTGTATAAATTCAGTACTGTATATTATACCCAGATATCAAAGGCCTGAAATGTTTCTTGGCTATGTGTAATATGAGCCGCGTCACGACAAAACCAACATAGTGCGTTTGCGACCAGCATGGATCCAGACCAGCCTGCGCATCCGCACAGTCTGATCAGGATCCATGCTGTTCGCTAACCAACTCTATTACAAGCAGAGAAACTGATAGCGAACAGCATGGATCCTGATCAGACTGCGTGGATGCGCAGGCTGGTCAGGATCCATGCTGGTCGCAAACGCACTAAGTTGGTTTTGTTGTGATGCGGCTCATATAAATTTACATAATAAAACGCGAAATGATTTTTTCAGCAATCCAACAAAAGCAGAATATAAATGACCATAATGTACAAATGATGAATCAAAATAATCAAATACAATTAATTGATAACATTTGGGTTTTAATTTAAATATACACTGAAAATGTTTTGAGCACTTAGACGAGACAAAAAACACCCAATGAATTCTAATAAAATCTACAAACTCTAATTTGTGATTGCCACACTTTGATGTTCAATTCAAGTTCTTATTCAGTTTAAACATGAGCTTAAGTTACATGTAGGGGTTGTGGACAAAAGCTTGCGCTTAACACAATCGTCCATGAACAAACTTTATCAAATGAAGTGTGCAACATGTTCAATTTTGCATTTTTGGGCATTCTTCAGGCATTCAATTTTTGTTTATTTTACATTCCAGTCAATATTTAAACATATATATTTTTGTTTGCACTACAATCTAAGACCCGGCACATAAATAAATTAATTAAATAAATCATATTGTAAAATTAATTGATTAATGAATTGGTTAATTATTGATTAATGATTTGATTAATTAATCAATACAGAAAGAACACATTACAAAGTAATATGCATTTAGCACAAAGT